TCAAACCGCGGGGTCTTATTTCTTTACGTGTTGATTTCTATCAACACGTAATGTTGTACCGATGTATATAGAGATGTACTACAGCAAAAGTATTCTCCGTCGGGACGTCCTGCAACAACACCACGCCGTTATCGTGATTCTGATTGGCCAGAAGACATTATCAAAGATGTTCTATTGAGAAGACGATCACTACGTGACAAACGTTTTCAAAACCGTTTCTAGCCTTCGGTATTTCCAGACAAGTGGCTACTGAAATCAATCTTACTAACTGCTGTCTGTGCAATTTACTCCGCGCGAGTTGGCGGACTTTATTTTGCTAACTTTAACATCATTTTTCAAGATGGGGCTAAGCCATGTCTTGGTATGGCTGTAGCCCAGCCATAGCCTGGCGCTGCCACTGGTGGGATGTATGGGGCGGGCCATTCTGCGCATGCGTTAAATATTTTAACGCAATTTAGTCAAAAAATTAATTACCGCCGTTAACGCGATAATTTTGACAGCATTACATATAATACATTATTTTATATATATATTTATATATGTATTTCTATAAAGTCTTAAAGTTACAACCGGCCCTTTGAGTGCAGCCATAATGTGGCCCGCGATTAAATTGAGTTTGACACCCCTGCTGTATACTAACTGCACACAGGAATGTTTATTTCCCTGATCTACAAGAGTTAAACAAATAAAGATAAAATGTATGTGTATCTTGTAGTCTGCTTCTCTACTAAATGTAATAAACATCACTCAGTAGTAGTTGTGATAGAAATGAATGTGTAGATTGATACATGATGCTTAAATATATATATTTAGTTTAATGTCTCATTATTGTTCTTACGCTCCTTTTACAGCCACAGCTCCTGCCAGACTTCCCATCCACCGCCGGATGTACCCCGTACACAACGAAGGTGACTCATGATCACATTACATTTACATTCTTCTGTAGGAATTAATGTGATTACTACATTTATTTCTTTTTAAAAAAAATCCTTTTAGGACGTCATTTTAGTTCAAATTAAGCAGACTATATTTCTGAACCCAGTAATCCCCAGAGAGTACTTAGATGAATCCAGCAACATCTAAACTTTATTAGTTTGACTTTTTCTTTCATCCTCTAGTGCACTGCCAAAGATCGCAGGGGGGGGCGCCAGGCCTCAGATTATTTGAGGCCAAATATCATATTGAGACTTTTTTCTTTTTTTTTCGCCCCCCAGGTTGGGAACCACTGGTAACCACTGCTCTAGAGTCTAGACATGAATACAATGACAGATAGTGTAACAACTGGTTTTGGTGATGTCTGTGATATCATTTCATAATAGGAATGGGGACTTGTTTGTTTGAAAGCAATTAGCTTATTATCAATTTAGACCCCACTAATGTCAATCAGACTATCAAATCACCTTCTTATTATTACAGAATGATTCCACTGAAGGGCGATAAACCATCAATAACACATTCCAATCTTAGGTAACAGTGTTTATCTGGGATACTCAGTTCCTCATTGCTTTCTACTCAGCTACATATTGTGATGCACTCGTTCAGTAGGTCACGTCAATTTGCGAAGAAAGTTATTTATTAATCTGATCAAATTGAAAATCTGTTCCAGTATACCTGTAGCCCACGTTCAGTTTGGGGCTTCAGGTATACAGGTCGTATTTTTTTCATGATGATAAATGCAATATATCCCCTCAACTTCGCTGCTTTGTTCATATTGATTCCTGCTGTGTTACAGTCTGCCCTGAAGTCACCATCAGAAACAGCATTGTTAAAGGTGAGACAAGCTACAGACTAAGAGGCTTTTTTCAAATCAATCAATCATCAGGTTTTGTCTTAAAGATAAATCTAATTTTATTTGATGTCCCGTGTTTGTTTGTTTAGGATTCGACATGATGGAAGCCTTCGGTCTGACTCGGACAGCTCACTCCTCTGTGGAGGGTGTAGCTGCCGAGCCTTTTGTCTTCAACACCCTCCCTGCCTACACTGTGTTCAGAGACATCCAGTTGACACAGAACACCAAGTGAGATCATCTCTCTCACTGCTTTTCTTCTCTTCTTATGTTTGCTGTGTAAACCTGGCTTCAAAGTCGTCCTTGGCTGAATCCTCGCTGCTGATCATGCTCCAAAGATGCATTTGCTCCTGCGTGACCGCATCTTTTGTAATTAGACGTTTTAATGGCGTTTTTATTTACAAGATCTGGTTTTACTTGAGGTTTTTCTGGAGATTGGTCTGTTTAGAATACATGCTTAAGCTGTCTTTACTTGTGGTTAAGGTAGCTAGTTGAATTTAATAGGAGAAAGGGGGTTCACTGGCTTCCCTGAGAAAACATGATCCAGTGATTTTGTTTATTTTGTATTATTTATTTATATTTTGATTCGTTCATGTAAAGGTGGGGTAGGTAATTTTGGAGAAGCCAGCTCGAGTGCGCTAGAATTTGAAAATACACAACCGGAAAAAATCTGCCACTTCCTTACAGAGCCCCTCCTCCAACACACACGAACGCGCACATGACCAATGAGGGCACGAGATAAGTTTGTGCACAGATGGAAGGCTGACAGGCAGGTAGGCCATCCAGTTTTTTAGCCGGGCCGGCTCAGATGATTGATCGTGCTTTTTACAGTACTACGGCTTCCACAGATGACGTTTTTGTGTGGATTTTTTGTCAAAGCACTTAAGATATTCATTGCTATAAGGATGTTAAGAGCATTCCATGGAATATAACAAAAAGTGTATCTCGAGCCGGTTTCTCAAACTTACCTACCCCACCTTTAACAGTGCACATTAATACACAATGCTTGAAATGCGTCAGAGTTAGCAAAGAGGCTACTTTTTATCTGTATGTAGCCCATGGAAATATTTTTAAGTGACCCTTTAAACAAATAACAATATTTTAAAAAATCCTTAAAAACATGCAACATAAAGGCCCACAAAACAGGACATGCCAATAAAAACCAAAAAAACATACACATTGCAAAGCATAAAAGCCCGACTGGTAACATCAAGTGCACTAAAGTGCAATTGATTTTTAATTTTTTTTACTAATAGATATGAATACTGATTAACCTTGTCTCTAAACAATCCTATACATAAACTGTATGTGGCTTCTTCTCTATAAGTTTGTATAACCTTTCACAGAGAATGCAGACACGTTAAAATAAAATGTTCTGAGCAGGTTAATGCATTTCCGTTATGCTGCACCTCCTGTCAGCATATGAAGTTATTCTGACTCATTTGAATGGGAGAAGACACCTTTCTATCATTGCGCAGCAGTACAGTTGCAAACATGTTTTCTGTGTCTTTAAAGAACATGTTTGATATTTATTTCCTGTCCCCTTGCAGGTTTATCCACCCTGCAGGTTTGTCTCCAGAACACACCATCAGCATCGCCTTCCGCGTGCTGCAGGAAACTCCCAGAGAGCCCTTCGCCCTCTGGCAGCTCACTGACAACGACTTCCAGCCAAAGATGGGATTGGTGCTCGACCGTGAGTTACCTTTCTGCATCTCCAAAACCGCAAGAAGCTTCCTCATCCCTTTAGTCCCATATTATGTCATCAGGGCCTCTAGACCAACTCGTTAAATTAACCTCCAAGACACATATATACATTTTCATAGAGACCGGCCTTTTTGATTGTAATTACAAAACATATTTCCAAAACTAAATTAAAGAGTATTTACTAACAACATATTTTTATTGTTTTATTTTGAACTATAGCTATTAAAGGATCAATCGATTAGTTATCATTTGGAAAAATGAACCTATAATTTGTATGGCTTTGCTGCTTTTCTTTGTTAAATGTAAACATATGCTGAATATCTTTTGGGCTGTTGGGTCATTTGAAAATCGGGAGATGTAGGACATTTAGTTGGAATAAAAATCTTCTCAAATGTTTTGCTTTCCACAGCTACAACTAAGCACCTGGTATACTTCAGCCTGGACTACAGGGGAGAGGTGCAGGAGCTGACCTTTGACCAGCGGCAGGTCCACAGACTGTTCTATGGCAGTTTTCACAAGGTGAGATAGAAGACACTGAGCAGGGTGGGGAGGACAATAAAAGACTCACTATCGTTAACCAAAATGTGAAAATCCATTGTAATCCAGCCTAGTAAATCTGACTACTTCGCCCTATAAATAATGTGGGTTTCATATCATTTTTTATGTGAGCAGGCACATGCACAGATAAACCTCAAAGGGGGTTCGAGCACCTGCCCTTTTGCCCTTCAATTAGAGAAGAGCCCTTTTTCCATTTTCTTCACAAATCAATGTGCCTAATACTACACCCTATCTAAAGCTTATGTGTTGCTTATTATAATTGTCTGCCTGTATGTAGCAGTATTATATGATATGTGAATTATATTAAACAAATTATTTGGAATTGTAGTATCTTAGCCGTACAATACCAGCATCTTCTAATTGCCTGTCAATACTGAAGCATTTGGCCTGATCCATTATTGTGAAGGTGTGAAAAATGGAGGCCAGAGAGAAAGTCAGAGGGCTAGTTACCATGTGAGAAGAGTTTAGCGAAATATACTTAATTTGATTGCATGTATCATAAGTTAACTGTCATGTAGCAGTGTTTGAACCAACTGCATGGGTTTATTTAAAATACATACCATTTAATATCCCCAATATAGTTATCCCAAGCATATATTTATTTGAAAATAACAATAATCACCAGCTAGCCCTTTTATTAATGTGGTCCTCCTCTGCGCGTGCCTGCTTGTGAGTAACCAGTCCTCTTTCTCCTGTGATTGGCAGATCCACCTGACTGTCAGCCAGGTGAGCGTGTCCCTGTCTGTGGACTGTCAGCGTGTGGGAGAGAGGCCGGCCCGCCCTCTAGGCAGCCTGCCCACCGACGGCTTTGAAATGCTGGGAAAACTGGTGAAGACCCGAGGACCCAAAAGTGGCTCTGCTCCGGTACTTCTGATTCTATGTAGCTAATTTAGGCTTCTAATAAATCATAAATGACACCATAAACAGATCTTTCCTGTTGCAGTTCCAGCTGCAATCCTTTGAGATCGTCTGTAACACCACGTGGGCTTTCGAGGACACCTGCTGTGACCTGCCTGCAATGGTCAGTCTCTCCCAATTACCTTCTTCTGTTCACCTCTGACTTGGTAGAGGCATACCAGGAGTTGATGCTGTTAACAAAAGAATGAATGAGCTGCTTGAGTTAAGTGCCTTCTTATAATGTGGCTCAGTTCTTGGCACCCTATACTGTGAACAAAATTGACCTATTGTATCTAAAACTGTTTCATAGATATGTGATAATGACCAGGGTTCGAGTTATAATCTGAGCTTTATGGGGGACTTTAAAACTACCGCGCGTGCAAGCACACACACACACACACACACACACACACACACACACACACACACACACACACACACACACACACACACACACACACGCACACACACACGTTTTTCCACAGAACTTTAAAGTAAAATATATGCATAATGACAGTGGAAAATGTATATCAGAAGACTGTCTATCAAATATACACTATGAAGGGCAAATATGCATTTGTTTTCCCTTACACACAATCATGTTGATTTCTCCACTTTTTTCAGTGGTTATAAAAGAGTAAAAGATACACACAGGCTGTCTAAATGTCTTCCTAACGTGTGTGTGTGTGTGTGTGTGTGTGTGTGTGTGTGTGTGTGTGTGTGTGTGTGTGTGTGTGTGTGTGTGTGTGTGTGTGTGCGCGTGCGTCAGAGAGATGAGGAGAGCTGTCCGGCCCCGGCGTACACCTGTACCTGTTCCTCTGACGTCCCCGGAGCCCCCGGCTCCCCCGGACCAACTGTATGTCATCGTGAGATGACTGGAATATTTTCTCAGTCACTTTTTTGTGCTGCAGTTATTGGATAACATGTTGAAGTTTGATTATTTTCTTTTCCACAGGGAAAGCCAGGTACTCGTGGTGAGAAAGGTGAAAAGGGCGACCCAGGTCACAAGGTGAGTTGAAAATATTTATTTAGGCTTAATTTGATTTAATCTCAGGCCCTCTTCAAAGCCTAGACCATTGCAGGTAAAGTTGCCGGAAATACTATACTATAGGACCCTGTCCAACATTCTTTTAAGTCTCTTTTACCCCACAAGTGACTCTAAATTGCAACACGGTAAAAGAAATCTTCAATCATTCCCGTCCACTCTATGTGTGTCTATAGCTGGGGTTTTCCGTTTTATTTTATTTCCTTTTCTGCAGATACTGTAATCATTTCAATCTGTGCAGCTGAGACAGTGGATACAATTTACGTGTTGTATCCTCTGTCTCTGATTTGAGAGGCTCAGTTTTACACAGGGATTGCACGGCAGCTTCAACTAAATGTATTAATTATTTTATTCTCCCTGTATGGTCAGAAATTAATAGTACATTTTATTTTCCAACAGACTGGACATAAAGTACAGACTTCAAGTTTAACAGTACATCCATTGTTATGTTTTAGTTAGCTCCAAATTGATTGTTATTTTCTGTTTGCAGGGGGAGGTGGGTCCTGCAGGAAAGCCTGGATTTGAGGGAGGTCTCGGAGCCCTGGGGAGCATAGGGCCCCGAGGCATTGCTGTGCAGGGCAAAATGGTGGGTAACTTTCTTATTATAAAGTACATATTGTGTATGGTAGTCCTCCATGGTATGCAGCTTGCTAAGCTGGACTTTGATCTGGTAAATTGTATAAAAGTACTTCTGTTTCCTTTCTAGGGTCCACCTGGTGCAAGAGGGGGAAAGGGAGACCCTGGGAGAACAGGGATCCAGGTAAAACTGAAATAGAATAGAACATTCTTTAAATCTTGTTGTCTATAAAAAAAAGATATACAGTATATATTTGCCTCTAATGGCGCTCTTTGCATTCTCTGCAGGGTTTACCAGGACCTCAAGGTTCAAAGGGGGAGCAGGGGGTTCCCGGCCCTCTGGTAAACTGCTCAATCCCAAATCAGTAATATCAGAAGTCCTTCATACAGCAGTTACTGTGCCCCCCCCTCTTTATTTATCATCATGTCTCTGTAATGTGTTCACAGGGTATTCGGGGGCTTGAAGGAAACATGGGTGGACCCGGCCTGACTGGACCAAGGGTGAGATCGGAATACATGTTAGAGCCATGACTTGTCCACTTAGGGTCCATATTTGAGAATGATTGACAAATTCCGTTTCAGGCACATTTTGTGCTTTACTCAAGCACCACCCACAGGCTAACATCAGGCATTACCAGACTCCGAAACGCTGTCTGTTCTACACATCCATCTTATTCTATGTTACAGGGTTTCCAAGGAAGGCCAGGACACCCAGGGCCGATGGGTGAAAGGGGGCTCTCAGGACTGGTGGGCCCTTCGGTAAGCCCAGAGGGACAAATGATGTCATGAGCCATGTTTGTCTTTATATATTTCATTATGTCTTACATATCTTTTGCTTTACAGGGTCTGCCAGGGGGTAAAGGGGAGCGAGGAGAGAAGGTGGGTTCATCTTTATTTTCATCGTAATACTGTCACACTAAAGTGAATGTATAAAAGAGACATAACAATAATACCTTCTTCTTGTGAATCTGCTGATGTTTACTAGGGAGAAGCTCAGTCTATGGCCATGATCTTCCAACTGGTCACACAGGCCTGTGAGCAGCTAGTGCATAGTAAGTACTCTGTTTGCATGCATTCAAAAAAGGTGTCAAATGATGATATCTGTATATTCAGGGGAAAGACACTAGTCTAAAGGCAATCACATTGTTTTTCATGCACTGGACAAATATGAGAGTTTGGACTATTTTGCTTTCATAACATTGAAAAATATTGGAAAGAAAATGTACAAAATACAAGTTTACAAATGTTTTCTATTTGTTTACGGAGATTCCTCCTTAATTCACCATTAGATTGCCTCATATAGACAAGTTGTAATACCCACATATATTTGTACATTGTAGGTTATAAACTAGGGACGTTTTGGGGGGATATCTATTAGATCAATTCAACTATGTTTAACTGTAGTGTCCTGCAAATATATATGGAATTTTAAAATACATATCTTTAAAGGAAATCTCCACTTCAGTAGCAGTTTCATTCATATATCTCTATTCTAAAGGTTTTCATGGCTGTGTTCATATATCATCTATTCCCTCATTGATATAACATTTACTTGTGAAAACATGATTTGAATTGAATACATTTGAACTGAAATGGAATTGAATGGTGAAAATAATTTAGTTTTTATAGGTGTGGACAGTAGTTTCTGGTTTAAAGAGTTATACCACGATCTGTAAAGCCTTTGACTCTAATATGTCAACAATACGAATCTAGATTTTTTTACTTGGTTTATCAAATTATTACTAATCTGGAAATGTTTCCGAATTATACAATTTATAATAAGATTATGACGGTTTTGCATATTTAAACCTTAAAACTCAAGAAACTCATAATACAAAACTGGGGAGGTTTCATTGTGGTTAAAATAATTGGATTGGCCTTGACTGGCACATTCAGACTTTAAAGAGGTCCGGATGGAAACCTATTCTCCTGCTCATTATTCATCCACAGTTGTGTGTGTTTTTCAGAGGAGGTGCTGAAGCTCGACATGTTCATTAATGAGATGAATCGGAAGCCAGCTCCAATTGAGGAGCCGGTGGGCCCCCCCGGGGAACCTGGTATACCGGGGCCTAAGGGCCCACCAGGCAGCAGGGGCAGCCAGGGGAATGTCGGCTCGAGGGGGAGACCTGGGAGGCCAGGATATCCCGGAGAGCAGGGTAAGACTCTATCTTGTAGATGGTGATACGTTTATTGAAATGAAAACATTATAAGGGTCCAGTCTGATATTCTACAGGAGGAAGAGGCATGCTAGGGGCCAAGGGGGATGCAGGGCCAAATGTCCAGGGGCCCACGGGGATCAAAGGATTTGCAGGTACCTCTCTATAAATCATTGGTTTGATCTAACACTGTATTATATAGTCATCGTCTCATATTTGTCATTGAGAAACAGGTTGTCTCTTATTTATTATACTGTATATATTAATACCATATTTATACCCTATACATTTTATATAAATGAACTTTCTTCTGCAGGTCCTCTGGGTGAGGCTAAGCTGGGTGACCCAGGTTCTAAAGGAGATGATGGTAAATCAGGACTCCAGGGGATCAGCGGAACACCAGGACAGCCCGGAGAGATGGGACCCCCGGGTCTGTGCGACAACAGCGGAGGCTGCAACAGAGCCCCCCAGCAAACAGGTTAGCTACCAGGAGGGGTTCATTAACTCAGCCTACACTAGGTCTGGTCATATCAGATGTGATGATCCAGCTGATGTCCAGTGTTAGGTATGTGCAGTGGCTGGGTAACTAATGATGATGTATGCTAAGGCCCAAGTTAATAAATGTTTATAGAGATGTAGCCAGCGTCTTCAATATGTCTCATACAGTCAATTATGTAAATGAAATGTTCAAATATACCGCATGATGGTTTCATGTTGGCACGCAGCTGCACAGACAGTAACGTCTCACACACCCACACACACGCACTCCGGTGTGACAGCGCCTAGGTGTAAAAGTTCTGCATCATAAGTAAATAAGACATGAAGACTTTGATTCGTATTTACTGAGAGTCAATAATAAGTCGTAGAGGAGCAACTATAAAAAAAAAAATGTTTACAACAAGAACGTCCTTAAACTGTAGGTGTCTCTTGCTGATCAGGTAGAATACAGTGGTGCCTAATAACTGAAAACAGCTGCCTGAAGGAGCCAAAAACGGCGAGATTCAATAAAAACAAGGAACATTTGGCCATAAAGCCAAAATAAAGAGATGCTAAAATTGTGTTGGCAGGATATAAACTCAGGTAATAAATATCTTTGGTTCGTGGTTTGGTACGAGCGACCACATTTTACTACTTATTGTTAATATAAGATGATTTATTATAGCAGCTTTAAAGTTATGGTAATGTTAATGCAGTTAATCAGAGCAGTTCAAACTTGTCTTAAAGGCATGTTTCTTGGAACATTTGTTGGTCATTAACAGTGTGAAAGTGGTCATACGTGTTGACTCTTGTTGTGTTTGCTCTCTTTCAACAGCAGACCCCTATTACGGCTACCAACCTTGAGCGGATATTTACAAGTCAGCAGATGAAAGAAGTCTGTTTGAAGTGACTATGATTCCTTTGGAGCTGAAAGCCAAACTGGGAATGGAGCTAAAGAAAAGCAGCACTGAAGAGGTTTGGGGCGTGGAACGTGCCACTGACTGATGCGGAAGCTTCACTAGTTTCATCATGTGTGAGAAAAGGAAACCACACAGGAAGGGTCACTCTTGGTCTTCTTGTTGATCCTTGACATAAATAAGGGCTGAGAAATAAACAAGGAATACGTGGGAAGCTTTCTAATATAGAATAGTGTTTTGATGAACAGATAGCATCATAAAGGAAAATATTTTTTCATTGGGATCAGTCAAGTGCTCTCTTATACTCCATACTCGCACTGAAACCTTTTATTACTTTTTATATATTCATGCACTGTATCAATGCCAAATATTTTAGCATCTGTGTTATATTCCTACCCTTTTCATCTGCCATTCTAACCTTAACTGCCTCAAGGATAATGAAAGTGCATAATCCATGGTGATAAAGCTTATTTTTGTTCCATGGTATAACTGATACTGTGAGAAAGCCTGTTGTCATGTGTATGATAATGTGTATATTGTTTATTATAATTACTGTATGGAGTTATTCATGTATGATATTTTATACTGTACCTATTATGTAAAATACATGTTTACATTGTCTGGTATCTATGGGGTGGGGGTTATAGTGTGTGTGTGTGTGTGTGTGTGTGTGTGTGTGTGTGTGTGTGTGTGTGTGTGTGTGTGTGTGTGTGTGTGTGTGTGTGTGTGTGTGTGTGTGTGTGTGTGTGTGTGTGTGTGTGTGTGTTGTGAATAAATCACATTAATGTGTTAATTGTGTGTTTTTTTCCAAAATGACTTGTGTAGTTTAGTGTTGTGACACTTGTAGTGGAGGGAAAGAGAAATTAATTTAGTAAGCCGGAAAAAACGGTTATAATAAAGGCTTAGTTCTTTCTCGGAACCGGGTTGAAGAGACAAATGTTTCTGGTAGTGTCTATTTTGAAGAGGACAAATATACTTCCGGTTCCGGAAGCGGCTTTGTCAAGTTAGTCTTGGTGCTACAATCTTTTCGACGTGAAGTCATTTTATTTTTCAAAATAAATGCAGCCCTGAAGACGCGGTCAATATTGAACAGGGCTAGCAGCATTGCTACATGATAATGTTTCCCACATGTTTTTGAGATTTTTTTTATTAGGTAAAGCTGATGTGAACAGAGTCTAAGGCTATTATCTGAATAAGTTAAACTTATGTTCAGGTCAATGACTTAGACCGATACTCTATTTATTCTTGAAAGTAACAAACAGGATGTTGGGGCCACTTTCTCTGACTTCACTCGGTGGGGTTACCATAGATTCACGTCACCATGGCCAGCCGAAAAGCTTCGCAGCCAAAGCGGGATAGTGGGGACAAATACTCAATACTATTACCTACCTACAACGAAAGGGAAAACCTCCCTTTGATAGTATGGCTTCTGGTGAAATATTTCGGTGAAAGGTGAGTTCCGAAGAGCTGGTTTAGCTGCTCGGCTAGTGCTAGCTACTTTGGTAACATTAGCTAATGTAAGTGATGAGCTGTCACTAAACCAGAGTATGAATGTGACAGCTTTTAACAGTGACATTAAACTTAGGTTAATGTATTTTCAAGTTTATGAACAAGTTTGCACTATCTCAGGTTTGTTTAGCTTGATGGAATTACGTTGTTCTTTGTACAGTGGCTACAACTACGAGATAATTGTCATTGACGACGGAAGCCCTGATGGGACGCTGGAGGTGGCAGAGCAGTTGCAGAAAATCTATGGAGAAGATAAGATAGTACGTAAAGAATCCCTGCTCTCAGTGAAGGATCCTGGTTATTCACTTAAACATAATATTATTTTGAGTATTGTGTAAGAAGTGACTAACGACGTCATTGTTTACTTGTGATTTACACTGTAAACCTATTTAATGTTGGTTCAAGTAAATGGATGATGCAGACTCTTTTCTCTTTTTTTGTGTTTCAGCTTCTACGACCAAGAGCAACCAAATTAGGCCTTGGTCAGTTCAAAGCAGTGTATTAGTGTATTCGTTCTGGTCACTTTAGCTTACAATTAATGATCTCCTTTTTCCTTGTATAGGCACTGCTTACATCCACGGCATTAAGCATGCTACTGGGAACTTCGTCATCATAATGGACGCAGATCTTTCCCATCATGTGAGTGGAGCTTCTTTCATTGTGTGTTTCAATATGTTCAAATGAAGACTTTTAACATTTTATTATTATTAAATATTATTAGTCTTTCAGTTAGTTTTTTTTATAATACATTTATTGTTTGGTTAATCAGATGTCTGAAACTAGGGGAACACATCTATAATTTCTCACAATCATAATTCCCTAAAAATATACAAAAATTACGAATGACTTATAAATTAGTTGCCGTCAATGCAAATCGATATATAAACTAAACAATTGACCCCCGAGCGGATTATTTTAATAATTCCTGAATTGATTTAGAGTAAGTATTTGGATGGTAGATAGATTTTGAGTTTAACTGATCTATTTTCTTTGTCAACTCTCTCCTCTCTATCATCCCTAACATCCCTAAAATGTACATTGCTCTTTAATATAATTACAATTGAATGTGAAACATAACGGGTTCTGAGTGATTTCATTTTGTACGGCATATTATTTTACTGTTTTCCTGTTCTTTTTTTTGTTCTTTTTTCAGCCCAAATTCATCCCAGAATTTATTAAGTAAGTTTTACTACATTTTAATTTCATATCATGTGATTTTGTTTTTTTTAAATATTGGAAAATTATTGTTTTAGCTATTGTGTCATGACAGTTGAAAGGTAAATTGTGCAGAAATACTTTAGTTAAAGGAAGAGTTGAGACCAACAGTACACATTTTTCTATGATTTCTATAAAGAGTTGTACAGATCTTCAAATAAATTATGTTCTCAAGCAGTGTTCTATTTAGTTCTGTAGTATTCAAGAGCAGGCAGAGAACTCTACGCCCGATATCTCCAACACTCTGAAACTCACACATAACCAATCTAGATGGATAAATAGCACTGTAGTTTAGAGAAATGCAGGTTTCATTTCTGGGTGTACTGTCCCTTTAAGACCGTTTTCTCCTGTTGGTCAGAAAGCAGAAGGAAGGTGATTATGACCTGGTGTCTGGCACTCGATACCAAGGCAACGGAGGTGTTTACGGCTGGGACCTGCGCAGGAAACTCATCAGGTAGCTGAGAGTCAACAACTGTTTTTCAATTTCCCCTCACAACAGACCGGAGTCCTGATTTCTTTCCTGTCTCCTCTCTTCACAGCCGGGGAGCCAACTTTCTGTCTCAGGTGTTGTTGAGACCCGGAGCCTCAGACCTCACCGGCAGCTTCAGGTTCATGGAGCGAGCGAGTGTTGTGTGACACTGACTTTTTTGGGGATATATTTTCTCCCACTCATACAGCTTTCTCTCCCGGATGTCAGGTTGTACAAGAAGGCGGTGTTGGAGAGTCTGGTGAAGCGCTGCGTATCCAAAGGCTACGTCTTTCAGATGGAGATGATCGTCCGAGCCAGACAGCTCAACTACACAATTGGAGAAGTGAGGCCCTAATTCATTAATCTATTTAAGAATATCAGATCTGATACATGTTTTTTTTTAAAAAGCAGAACATCAATAAATCTTTATATTAATTTGCGGATGCGGAATAGTGCAAATATAATGATGTAGTTCAAATAAAAGAATTCCAGAAAGTGGACCCTTGTCTAGATAAAGAAAAATGTCCCCTACTTATTTTCCTTAAATATAAAGAAATAACAGTTTTGCAAATCTGCACTGAGGGCTTTTAAAGGCATTTTGGCTTTCACTGTGAGTGTTTATACGTTTTCTACGAATCAACTATAGACTCTGGACAGAAACATGGTTGACTTTCCCCTGCATTGTGAACCTTTGTGCACGATTCTGGACCCAAAAAAAACAAATTCTCTCTTCTTCCTCCAAAACAACAGGTTCCCATCTCCTTTGTGGATCGGGTCTACGGAGAGTCCAAACTGGGAGGAAACGAGATTGTGTCTTTCGTGAAAGGACTGATCACGCTCTTCGCCACCACATGATCAGCTCTGTCGGGCATCCCACAGTTAGATCATGTTACCGCGACTTTGAACCGGCTGTCTTAAACACAGTAGTTGTATCAGAATTTCAATGGGGGGGGGGGGAGGCTCTGCTTGTCTACATGGGCAGACAGTGACATGACAGCCATTGACAAGGGAGACATGTTAGCAGTAAATATAAAGTCAGTAGTGGTCTGGAATACTGCAGCCACATAGTGCTCTACATTCCCATCACCCTCTCTAATGACATCTTGATGCATGGACATGATTCCCTCTGCGCACAGCTGAATCGACTGTCACATGGGTTCAACATGTTTACTGCTACGCCAGTGATTATTTGTATTCAATTAAAATGTTTGTATTGTTGGATCTGATTTTTCTGATATTTCTTTTTACAACAACTCCAAGTCTGTTTTTGGTATTCATTGATCACGGTCAAACGTGAAATAAGTGCAAGTGGGCTGTTTATATCCATAAACATAGACAAGGATGATTTTGATCAAGTCTACCAAATTTTAACCCAATTCCCATAAATATAAAAAACATATATAATATTATATAATATATAATGTTTGCCAATACTGTCAAGTGTGATAAATTGGGACCACATCGGGACCGTTATTACCGTTTTATTTACGTTTAAAAATAGAATCAGTATAACAAATATTGAGTACATTTTCATGCTTATTTGGGAAAAAAATGTCTTGTTATAATCAATCTTTAAAGAAAGTACAAGGGTATACTGCAATAAAAAAGTTATATTTTGCTAGGAAAATACATCTCTCAAAACTAACTTGCATATGCAGATAAAAACAACATGAACACTGTTTTAGCCTTGAAATGAAATACAGTACCTCTGAAAAATAAATCTCTGAAATAGCATTGTGTAAAACTATGCATAGTTCCACACAAATAAAGTTACTGAGAGTCACTTGTAGCTTTTTTGGAGTTTTTAACCACATCTCATGGTCTTCTGAAGTACATGATTAGCTCCACTGTGCTGAAACAGCCAGACATCTCCCTCACATACACCAAAGGAAATATCATCCAGGGGTCAAAGCAGGGTGAATATATTTGAATGAATTTCAACAAGTCCCACTGTAAGGACATTTAACATCCAACTTCTCTCTCCTCACCTTAGTGTGCAAGGATGGATTAGAGCAGGCAGCGCCCCCAGGCCCTGAACGCTCCAAGCTTATTGTGCTTTATAGTCTACTATTTATGTATTTGAACATATACACACAAACACAGTAAGAATTTAAGAAAAAGCTTACATTACACAGGAGATTGGAAGCCAAAAATGTCTTATGAAGAAACCTCTCCTATTAGATGTCATACTTTGTCATATTAAAAGCATAAATAGGTTAAAAACATTCAAAAAAATCTTTAAGAAATGTATAATATACATGGAAGGTTATGTTTATCAGTTGAGATCAATTCTGATAATAGTCCATAAAGTTGTATACATATGTGCTATGAAAGTCCTTTTCATATATAAATAATGATAATAGATTTTGATTGCAGTGACTTAATTGTTATATAATTCCAATTTAACATTGCTAATTAAATACCCACATAGCAGACCTATTATCAGTTTGCCCATTTTGGTCAATGATGATAGGGTGTGTAATGGGGCAAGGAAGAACAACA